TCCTGCTCGACTCGTTCGGATGATCGTGCGTTTTCTTTCGCTCTCTCTCTCTCTCTCGTTTTGCGATTCATCAGATGCCGGAGATGCCGGGATATGGGAATCGGGTGTACGACATTTGCAGTACTTTGCCACACCGCTGGAGCTGTATCATCTGGCTCTGGGCACCTACGATCTGCGTCTGGCACTTCTCATGGCCCAACGCACACAATTAGATCCGAAGGAGTATTTGGCACAACTTAATGAGATTCAAGCGATAACGGAACAGGACACCACGACCGTCGCGGTTGCGTATCAGCGTTTCCGTATTGACAACCAGTTGGCACGTCATGCTTCGGCTTTACGTCATCTGTATGATTCCGGTGAGTGAATAGCTTGGCTACGTTTAGGGTCCCACATGTTTACGCATATGTTTCACCGTTAGTAAATCATTTTTTCCTCTACTAGTCGTGAGTGGATCACTGATCGTTCTTCTTTGTGATCTGTTTTGTATTATTCGAAATGGCGTCCGTTCAAAACCCGGAAAGTTTTGTCATCTGTCTCTCTATTACTTAAAGAGTTACACATTTTGGAGGTTTCAAATTCGTACACCCATGTATGTCTACTTTTTTCAATGAAACAATCAATCAGGTGGGGTTTCTTTCCATTTTGTATCAGCAATGATTGTTTGCATATTCGTTTTAGCGGTGCCAACAGTTCCCATGTATGCGCGTGTTAACTGTTGAAAGCCGTTTTTCTAGTCCTCCAGATGTCCATGGGTTTGCGATATGTAGATGTATATATATACCTCACGTTTGAGTTCAGACTGTGCCAAAAAAAATCACGATACAATCATCTTTGTAGAAAGAAATCCATGTTTTTCCTCCTGGGCGCGATACTGCTAGTTTGCCCAGGGTAAAACAGATAAATTGTTTTAGAGAATTAACAACCGGAGGCTTCGGAAAATCAAAGCCTGACCCATTGTCCGGTCTATCGGATCGTACACCCTCTGCACATTCTAGGTACTCAATCAAGCCGGTGACCACTGTCACAGCCAAAAAGGTTTGGGTTTATGTGGCTTCTACGCCTCCTTTTGTTTGGTTTGGAATCAGTATTTTAGTCAGCTTCCCTCGAAATGCCGGTGGTTCATCGACCCGGCCATTGACTTTTCGTTCTCTTACTTTGGTGGGATAACACCTCTGCCACACGTGAAGATAGTGAGTGGGGCTTCCTTAACAGAAGCAGTTTGAAACGCTTGTTCGGAGCTTTTCGCGAGGTGCAAGGGAGCGTGACCAGCCAGCAAACCATACTAAGGTTCTGGGAGACGTTCGTTTGACGTAGGTTAAACCGCTGTTGTAAATCATCCCGTCTACCTCACTTGGTATAGTATGGTCCTTCGGTAATTCATCTATCGAGACTTACTGTTATTCTGGGTCATTTTTTCGGCTCTCATAACTGAACTGTAAACTATCACAAACATGAGGTTCACTCTTTCTGCTGTTCACTGCAGTTAGATTTTGTAATAAAAGACGGACTCCCAAGTTTCATCGAGATTGAATGGGAATTATCCTCATTCTTTTACCTTCAAGTGGTTTACGTGATTAATCCGTGTGATTGTGCATTTCAACCTCACTAACCCAAACACCAACCAAGCTCACCGTTCTCATTCACACGTGAGATTTCCTTTAAGACTAATAATTCTTGGAGTGACAAAAGCTTATCCAATTCGTGTTGACTGCCTTTGTTCTGTTTACAGTTGTGTGATGTCTTCCCGTGCGTTCTTCATCGACTCTCTTAGATAGTTGCATGTGCAAGGCACGTTCATGATTCAGCCGGTAAATCCATTATAATAAATTAAGTTGACGTTCCGTAATGGGTTAGTGCGTTAATCGTCCACCGAGGACTTTTTAATGTTTCTTGTAGTCAAACTGATACTGAACCTGCGCCTTCAGCATCTCGATAATTTGTCCACTGTGTCTAGTCATACTCCTTATTCATCAATTAATATGACTCATATACACAGTAGCGTATGAATTTACGTATACAGGTATTGATTAAACTCGTGCAACATCCTGATTTTCATCACATTTGTTCCTCTCAGTGCTTCGTTTTCCAGCCTCATTCACGGGATTGAGCATGACGTTGCCCCACATCAGAGGCAACGTATTTGATATAATATCTACTTGTGTCTTTACTTCCATTAGCCACATGCCAAGGTCACGCAAATTCAAACGGTAATAGGAGAGAACTAAGAATACAGATGTGGGAGATAAAAGCAGGAATAAATACACTTTACCCATAGCCATCAGTGCACAGGCATGATATTGGAGACTGAAAGGTATTTCCAAAATGAGAGTGATGTTGCACGGGTTTGACCAACACCTTTATATCTGCGTTTTTAAACCTAACCCACCAGGTCTGAATCCTTGAATTGACATGAATGTGTCCTCTGTGTTTAGTCTTACTCCTTATGCATCAAATACTATGACGGAAAATTTTGAAATTCGAGATCAGTTAGCGACCAGTGCTTGATATTTTATCCCTTTTTCATTGGATCTCCTTAACGATTGCTTCTCATTACTCTCTCTCTCTCTCACCATAGGCCCTGATCATTCGCAAGAGTTGATCGAATACGTTCGCATTCACAAACTGTACCGCGAAGCTGTCGAATTGTTCCGGTCAGACAGTGAGGAATTTAAGGTATGTTCATCGTTTTGTGTACATTCCGCGGTTTCAGTTCAATTCTTCCCGGTCAGAACGGCAGGGTGGGAATCATCGTGTAATCCGTTTTTTTTATGCTCAACCAATACGATTTTCCGTTTGTTTGTTCAGTGAGGTCCTATAATTCTGGTCCGATTAATTATTTTCTAAGTCACTCGGTCAGTTTGGTCAGGGGACAAATCTGAGACTGTTAAAACTTCATGACCACCACCATCACCAATCGGCTTATTGTCCCGTTTCGTCCTAGTTCTTCAATAGGATAGTGATCTTGGTACATTGGTGTAAATAGGCAAACACAGGAGTCTTCTGTAGGTCACTTTTTTGGTAGTTCATCTGTTTTCCACATAATATTTTTTTACACGTGTGTGTACCGGTTGACAAACGGTTCTAAGTAGTGGTCAGTTCATAGAAGTGTAATGTATACTGGCACTGGGTCCTGCTGACAGCTAACTGTCAGCTAGTTCACGGCAGTTCGCAGTCTTTGACAAGTACTACCGTTTGTGTAAAGATCCTGACTGTCAATCGCATCGTCGTCATCATCAACATCATGTATAACTCTATGAACTTTATAGGTTGCTAGTCAAATGTGGGCAGAACATTTGATTTCCGAACAGAAATTATCCTCGTCCGGTGAAGTGTATCTACGCGCTGGTCTGTTCGCTGCGGCCGCTTGTACTTTCCTGTCTACCACTCAACCAAAACTATGGGCCATTGCGGTTTCTCAGGCGCGGTCGTCGGAATCAAACGCGGACGGCCTAATACACCTCAGCGCCTCAGAGATTAAACAGCAAGCGACCAAAATGATAGGTATGTGCTCAGTCCACCATTCCAACTATTTGATCATAGAAAAACCCAGCACACATAAACATTCTTACTTTGTTGACGNTCCTCTTAACTCACGATTTGTCATTGATTTCCACCCACTCATAGTCACACCTCTAAGCTGAGCCACTGTGTAAAAATGGTTGATGAAATCGATCGATACGTGTACCATGAAACTGTAGTTAGGCATAAATTTGTTGAGTGCAGGTATTTCCCCGGGTTATAACGTACTATTTACCCATCTATCTTGACAGTACTATCTCATATATATATATATATATATATATATATATATATATATAT